AAAAAATCAATCAGAAGCTCAACTCCTATTAGTAGACCAACAATATAGGTAAATAAATGAGGATCCTAACTATAATTTATGTGAAGCACCTAAAACATGATTTATAAAATACAACATATAAATTCAAATTTTACGTCAAGATAGAGATTAACCAAAAATGATGTCACACTTCAATTCAGTAGTAAAACACCTTCAATGATTTATTAGAGATATTCTATTTGAGACAAAAATATTTTCTAGTGAATAATGTTCTAATTATAGAAATTAAAACAATAATAAGGAATATAATCAGTAAGCATGTACCAAATAATAAAGAAACAATTTAATATAGCATAAATGCTTTGCTTCGAAATCAACGAATCTTTTATAACTATTGTCCATGCTTACATTAGCATTATTTTATCCTTCATCACTGGTTTTGAAGTTGAACGACGATAAATGATTGACATTCAAGCCATGAATTATTAGGCGAAAATAATGAAGAATGTGGTAACATCTTCTAGTAGGAATCAAATGGAGTTTATATCTAAATAAACAAACTAAGTAAAATCCATGCTTTGTGAAGGACGACTAATAAAAGCAAATAACAAATAGGGACACACAGCCTATAAAGGTAAGTAACTAATCAAACACAGCTTAAAGGCATGAAAACAAATGTAGATATACGGTCTATAAGGGTAAATAACTAAATGCTTCATCGGCTACAAAGAAAACATGGACATATAGTCCAATATTAGGGAGAATGACAAGTAAGGACCTTGTAAGAATATTAATGTCAAATTTAAAACTTTAATATTGAAACATGGGTGGAGGAGTGTTGAAATTTGAGAATGTTAATGTTGAAAAATCCTAATTTGATATTAATATTCTTACAAGATCCTTATTCATCATTCTCTCCTAATACTAACAAAAGGTGACTTGAAGTCGTGAAATCAAATGCAAGTATGAGACCCACGATTAACAATCATGTGTGTGATATTCATGAATATCAAATGTGAGTACTATACCCACAAGTACCAAGCTAGTTAGGTTTTAACCATGACACACCAAGGGCTAACAGGATTGTTAGCAACTAGTATTCTGTATGAAGTCATATTTGACAAAATATAGGTAGGTTGTGTGAATGAAAGCTAACTAAAATATTTTTTTTACAAGATTGGACTTGGCTTTATGAAGTAATTGACTTGATTACCCCCAATTTTTTAGTCAAATTATGAAAATAAAACACAGGTTTAGAAATCTTCCCATTGTAAAATTTTCTTACGCGTGACTTTGCATGTTTGATTATTTCTAGGCTAGCTGCATATTTTACAATCAACGTAACATGTTCGTCTCTTGATGCTACATATTATTCTCCTAAGCTCATTTAATATTTCAGAACTGATGCCCAAAAATTGGTTCTCAATTCCTCTAAAAGGGAAAGGTCAGCAGTCAGCCTGTAACTCATACAACTGATGTCATGTAATTCTTCTGAAAAAAATTGAATTGTACAAAATATGTAGATTATGCAAAGGAAGTTTGACAAAAATATAAAACTTTAGTACAAAATTGGACTCGTTTTACGAAATACTTGATGATTTGCCCCATTCTTTGAGTCAAAATTTGAATAATGAGACCAGTATTTAGAAACTTCACTCCATTAAATTTACCAACTCATGACTTTCATTTCTCTGTATATCAATATAGATCCCAAAAATAAGAAAAAAGATGTTTGTGTTGATAAGTCACTACTCCCTTTGTTCCCATCTATATGATAATTGCAAAGGTGAACTGACGTCCCATAATATATTATTAATCTACTCAACTAAAATATTTTCAGAAAAGTCTCCTAGTATTTTATTATATTAAATATAATGAGTCTGGATATGGAAAAAAAGATTTAAGATGAATAAACTTGTTGGTGTCCCAATTATTTCTTCCATTTCTGAACATAGGAGACATGGGCGGAGCAAGGATTTGATAATAGGGGGAAAGCCAGATTAAAACACGTGTATACTACAAAGTTTACATAAATCTTAAGGAGGCAAGAAGTATGTAACATCTATATATAAAATTTTAATAAAAAATTAATAATGTGTTGTTTATATGCAAAATTATAAATTTCTATTAACATTTATTACAATTTTCCTAAATTACCCCTAATAAAAGTATAGTTTTCATTCACGAGACAAAAAGATATTTTAGTTTAGTTTTTTTTATTTGTAGACATAATTATTATACTTAACCAACATTCTTAAACTATGTGACCTAGCTATTTTCTCTTATACTCCTATTTAGAAGACACCTTCTAGAAATAATTTTTAGTCTAAAAAATAGAACACCTAATAATGATTAAACTACTGTTTTCAATTTCACCCATTTTTTATTAGCATGAAATTATTTAATATAGTTGAATTATTATTTAAAGTTAAGGGTCAAAATGAAAGTACATATCACTTTTTTATGATATCAAGTAAAAAACTAGCTTTTCTTAATATACATGAAACTGTTGAAAGTATCATATAATAAGAACCAAAAGGAGTATTCAAAAAATGGAGGGAGTATTTAAACTAACTTTGCTGTTTAAAAATAAATTCCTCGTTTCAACAAACTTATGCATGAAATCACGCATCAGTTGCCATTAAGAAAGTCTATTGTTGATATTTTTAATTTGAATACATTATTCTCTACATATGATTTTTATAACGGCATAAAAAGTTGTTATAATTATAGATATACAAAATGGAGCTTAAATGTTGCACTACAAATGAAAGTCAACAGCGAAATGGATTATGTATTATTATTTTGGAAAAGAAGCTTAAAAAAATTTTCACACAAAGCCAAGTAACATGCATGTACAAGACAACTCAATTTTGAACACTTTCTCTTCTATTTGCGCATAATTTTGATGGCATTCAATTCTTCTGAAGAAAATCGAATTATTCAAAATAGGCAGGTTGCGCGGAGGACAGCTAACTAAAATATACAATTTCTTTTGACAAAATTGGAATTATGAAAGTTAAAACCAGGTTTAGAAATCTTCCCACAGTAAAATTTTCCAACCCATGACTTTAAGGATGTTTGATTTTTTCTATGATTGATATCAACGAATATATTATATAAAAACATAAATTACATCACCCAAAAAATGTAAATTACATTGACACACTCACACAAACACATTATATAAATTTAAAATATTGGAATTTACCTCTAATTAGGTATCCTTCCGTGTCAAAGACACTTCCTAGTTAATTTATTGTTCTTTCGTGTGATTAATAATTAAAAAGCACAAAGCAAGGTCAACAAAATTCAGGATCTAAAAACAAAATTATTGAGGAGGCAATTGCGTATATAGGCTGCCACATCCTTGAATAAATAACACGTTAAGAAAATACCTAATTCGACTATATTTGCTCACTAGTACACATAAGATACTTCTCATAAATGAAGATGAACTCTTTTATGTTGATTCTGTATATTGGAATCAAGATTTAATCCTAATGATTTCATTGAGCTAGAGAGGTTACTTCTAAACACACAAGCGCATTCCTCAACATCATGATTTGCAACTATAACTATCATTTATAAAAAAAAGGCTTGGGAAATATGATGGAAGATGTTTGTTTTTAGAATATTTTGTTTTTACTTACTTCTTCCATTCCTATTTATAATAAATTTTTAGACAAAATTGTGCAAACCAATAAAGCTCATTAAATATACTTTACAACTTTATTTTTAAAAACAAAAATATAAAATTTCAAAAATTATATTTCTTTCATTTAATACTCCATTTATAAAAGAATGTTGTAGAGAGAGAATATAACAGGAAGGATAATATTGAAAAACCATCATTAATATTTTGTTTTTGTCAAATTGTCTAATATTTTAGGATATTGATCCATTCAAAAGTGTCTTATAACTTAAGATGGAGGTAGTATGGAGAAGAGCATATTGCTAATAAAAAGTCTAAATGAATTTTATGAAATGAGATATCGTTATATTCAAATCTTTAAACATTATAAAAAGGTCCGTCCTGCATATATGTTAAATAAGTTTTTTTTATTTTGAAACAGGTTAATTTATTGAGTCTCTTCTAGATGTGGTTCGTTGTGGATCCACATATCCGGATTGACTGTCTGTTTTGATTTTCTTAATTTATAAAAAAATATTACAATTTGAAATATAATAATTAGTTTATCTTAGAAGATGATCATCAATGATCAAGTGAATTTTTATTCATTAATTAATATAATAATTAATTATTGACATTAAACCGTACATGCATCAAACAAGGAGGGTTTAAAATTTGATCTATATGTTAAACAAATAATTCAAATAAATTTTATAATTATATTATAAAAAATATAATATTTAATACTAAGTTTCGTTAGGAGATTCTTTACTTGTCATCTTCTTACTTGAAACAGTCTGTGTACTTACAAATTAAGTTGTAGCTATAAATAGATTTTGTGCCTACCAAGTTCTCACTAACATTTTTATTCATTTTTTTTATTGATCAGCAACAATAGAAACGGCAAAGAATCAAGTTTATTCAATTAAAATAGAGTAAACTTGAATATAAGCCCGACCTTTCTTATACGTGTAAACGAACCAGAAGTGTTAGCCAATTGTATTCGTATTGATAAATAAATCTAGGCTTCATAGTTCATAAACATGACAATATATATATATATATATGTAACTTATAGGATATCAATAAAATGTATTTTGTAAAAAAAAAAAAAGTAACATTTTATTATTGGAAGCTTGAACTGTGGGACCAGCAAAAGAAATTCAAGATGAATCCAATGACACTCCTCACTTCCCCAGCCTTTTTACTTAGCCACAAAATTAATTTGTGGTAGAATGTTCAAATATGAGTGTACAATTGAATTGATGTAGAACGTTCTACATTGAATAAAGTTATTTTAGAAAAGTAAATAAAAATTCAAATATATAGATGGTGATGACGTGCATGAAGACACAATGAAAAGTTATTCAAGCAGCAGTTCTGAAGATTATATGATTTTCTCAAATATAACTTTTTCAATGTGAGAGTTGATAGTGTCTGGATCAGTGTGAGCAGCATAGTAAAAACCCTTGGTCACATTGAGGAATGTCTTCTTCATGTTGAGATCCATGCCATTAGAAGAGAGCACCAATTGCACCAGCTCTTGCATTTTCACCCCTATTTCTGGATTGGAGCTGACACTTGTGTTGGCCATGCGGCTTCCATTATTCTTGTTTTCCTGATTATAATTTTAAAACCAGATAAATAAGTATAAGTGAACTGTATCATCCATACATTATCATTTATTAAGAAGATATAAAAAATAATCTCATTTATTAATGATGCTTATTTGAAGTTGGCAATTAAGTAATAAACACCTTGGTGCTTTGGAGAGAACGTAATTGGTGGCATAGTTGATTAGAGAGTTGGAGGAGTCTCTGGTACTGAGGATTGATCTGTAAGTCATTAGAAAGTTGGCAGCCGCCATTAATATTAATCATGTTCACCATCAGCTCAGCTTCTCCTTCCCACTGATCTCCTTCGCTTTGCCATCCCAATAGCCACTTCTTCCACTGCAAGCATTCATAGATCATCATAATGCTGAATGAAATTACATAATATTGGTTTTACTATTATTTTATGAGCATAAGTCCAAAAAGAGCGCATCCCAAAAGACTAGCATATTAGGTAGAAGAGTTGCTTTAACAGGGACTCATGACAATGATACCCCTTTTAAGAGGGGACACCTCCAATAGCTCCAACTCATGATATACTTCACTAGGCATCCACTGGTCATAACACTCCATGGGCAGGGACAAACCCACATTAGAGAGAGAGGAAATTGAAACCATGAAATATGCCAAAATTACACTTACTTTTTAGTCAAAATTACACTTCGCCCCTTTAAAATTGCAATTTCCCCCCATAAAAAACCAATTGTCCCACATTTTCTTTAAAATTATCAAGTATACATGTTTAAAAATATTGTTTATTCTTGTATTTATTAAATGAAATTAAGATATATTTTTAAACTTCTCATATAATTTATTTATGTATTACTTTAATTAATATCTAGAATTATATTTTTAAAAAATATTTATATTTATATTTGACATAAATGTTGTCCCCATTACTAAAATTTTCTAGGTCCGTCACTATTTGTTGATAATCCCTTCTAATCCATAACACTAATCAATTAATGAAAGCACTAATGTTATGAGCACAAGTTTAAAAGAAGAACCCATTTCACAAGACTACCAAGTGTAGAAGAGCCTCTCATATTTATAAACCCTACTTGATGTTTGAAGCTTCTGAATATGGGACTCGTTTTCTTGTTCATTATCGAAAGTTCATGAAAGTAAGCTTTGTAACTAGAGAGACTAACCATATCATGAAGAATATCGAAACTTGCCGCTGGTGAGCTCTGGGAGAAGCAATGCAAAGTTTCTGTTAAAGTCCCCAGTAATCCTTCTTTGCTTCTATTTTTATTCAGCCATCTGAAATAACAATGCTTATAATTAAGTAATAGTTTTAACTAAAGTTAAAATTTAAGAGATAATTACCGCTCTCTGAGAAGTGTAACTGCCGTTCAATTAAGGAGCTACTAATGTTATTGAAATCATGCACAAAGGCTTTTCTTTGGTGTCGGTCATGATCTGTGGATGTAAGTGTGTGAATAAGAGCAGAAGTTTTGACCCATGCAAGCCGTTCCTGTGATCTCTCAGGCTCGAATATGTTGGCTACAGCCAAAAAGTAAGCCAAAAGAAGCCTTTCTTTACTCAATCCTAAACTTTCTAGTCCCCCTTCTGAGTACCACCTATAAAAATCCATCATATATAATAAAATGTTATCAGTTAACAATTTTGATGTAATCGGATCATTACTAATAAAATGAGAAAATGAGAATGAAGGATCTTGGTAGAAAAGTCATTACACTTGAAGACCTCTTATTCAAGAAATAACAATTAAGGGCCAATGTCAATGTAAAAATTGGAGACTCTGTTGTAAATGCCAGAACTTCAATCTTAAATTATCCAAATCCTCTTTCTTATATTCTTGTATTATTTGAGTTCTAAAATGCATAAATTTAACAGAAAATAAAAAAAATGCAGTAGTTGTAAATAATGAAAATTATTTTTTGGCAAAAAAGTAAATGATGAAAGTTTACTCTTTGAAAAATGAGTTTCTAATTTTCACAATTGCGTTTTTTGGATTTGAAAAGTTATTGTCTATTTCTGATGAGCATGGGGCATTCTGATGCTCAGTATTTTCCAAAGAAGCATCAAAGATCTTGCTCTTTAATTGTCATTTCCTAAAACATTAATTAGGGGGTCTTTGGACGTCATTACTTTTTCTTTCAAGTTTCTTTCTTGTTAAGTTCTCAGATTTTCTTTGAAGCGAATTAAGTAGGGAAAAAGAGATTTAGGCTTTTCCTTACTCTTGGATTCTTTTCCATTCCCTACGATACAAGTGTTGACACACGTTATAGTCTAATTTCCCAAGTTCAAGATTATTGTTATTGTTTACCCTGTGCAGCCTGTCAAAAACAGAAAAACAAAAGAATTATTTGAGTTCAATATAATATTTTGTGTACATATATATATTAGCGCAAAATCTGAATATCTTTCTGAGACTTCAGTTACCTGTAAAGGCTCTTGGAAATCCAGACATCATCTCCACCACCATATTGTTCTAAGTAAAATCTAGTTTCTACACGAGGCAAGCTTGCGTCCCATGGAAAATCCAACGCATAGCTTACCTGTTATTTTTGTTTGGGAAAATTAATAAAAAAATACAAAATTAAACTAAGGTTGGTGTTTAAAATACAAATAAAAAAATAAACTTGAATATTGAAATAAAATATACATACCTCGCCAGATAGATCCTTATACATGATCCATTTATCAAGGATTTGGTTAGTAGCTTGTTTTTTCGAAAAGAAATTAATTGCAAAGGTCTTGCCTTCATCAAGAATTATCTCTCCTGGGAATTGAACTTGAGTTGCTCTGTAAAAATTGAATATCACTGTTTCTCCTTCATCTGATTGACCGGGATAGCAGAAGAACTCTCCATCTTTCTCAAAATTTTTAAATATGCCTATCAAATACGATACCGACCTCAAATCTCACAAATAATTATCCACTTAATCACATATTTGCTAATTAATTCCCCAAGATGACTTCCAATTGCATTAAAAACACTATTAAATTTATTAAAATATTGGAAGTCATCAAAGTTTATATTTTTATTTTAGAAATATACGGTTATTGGATATATTTAATGAGATTTATTGGTATATAAGATTTTGTCTAAAAGTATCTTATAATTTAAGACGGAGGGAGTATATAATTTCATGTGTATATATTATAATTATAATATTTCTGTATGTTTCATATTCCTCTCTAAATAATAATAGAACATTTATAAGATTATATGCATATTTATTATATTAGATATATATATGATATTTTATATACTTAATTATATATTATTATTATTATTATTATTATTATATCTCTCTATAACTACATGTATAATTAAGATTAGGATTAATTAGTAATTTTGTACTAAAACTATTAAGTCCACAAGTGTTTGGGACCTTGCACTTTTTGGGTGTAATGCTTCCCTTCAATAATTGAAAAAAGATACAATATTCCATTTCCCTTTAACAAAAGTTAACTTTCATCTATAGTTAATTGGAAAATTATTGAAAATAATTTTAAATATTGTGGAAATGTACCTAGAGAAATTAAAAATAAGTATTTTATAAGAAAAAATAATACTACTACATATTAGTTGAAATTTAATAATCATATTGTTTTTTATTCTTCATAAAAGATAACTATTAATAATTAAATATTATTTTTATGGTAATTAATTAAAAACAAAATAAAAATAAAATGGTAATTATTGTAATGGTAAATAATAATAATAATAATTACGACAATCATCATGATAATAATAAATATCATTATGTTATATATTACATAATAAAAATTAATAATTCTTCATTTAAATATTTATCAATTAGAAAAAAATAATTATAATAATAAAGAATAAAATTACAAAATTTTTTTAATAATTATATTATTAAAATTTAATAATTAAATTTTAATTAATTTAAATATTATTATTAAAAATATGACTCCAAAATTTATAAATCCTCCTTTGAAAATTAACATTACGACTAATGTATCCAAGATTTATAGATGGATGTGTTTTTCACACTAGTTGAGTTGTACATAAAAATAGTATGATAAATTATAAATCTTCATCCAACATTTATACATCCTCCAAAAATTTATGACTAGTACATTCACTTTTAAATCACAGGTAGGTAGTCAAGTTGTAATTTTGGAAAATTGATACATTTGAAAAGTTGAGACTTGAATATTGTTTTGGAAGATCTATAAATAATAATATTTAATTATTATTTATTAAAGTAATAACACTTTAATAAGATATTATTAAAACAAATATAATATTTTAAGTAACTTACATCAATAAATGTTGTATAATATTGTAAGAAGCAATTCCTTTTTATTCCAATAAATGTTTTGATTGACGTGTTTAATGAAACAGTAATCTTAAACTCAAGAAAGCAAAATATTTGATCTCAAATTTTCTGGTTTGTATAAGTCCTTATTATACTTAATTCTAATATTCCCTTTTCAATTATAAATTGTTTGGAAGAGAGGGTGGCTGCCATCAGACCTGTCAACCTCATTCACTTTCCCCGCCTAATTATATTTATCGTGTTTTGATTTAGTGGCCACTACAGTTAGTCAAATGCTACATGTGGCAAGATTAATATTGCTCCTCCGTTAAAAGAATATAAAAATATAATTACACTCCCAATAAATTAATTAATTTTTTTTAAAATAACATTATCTTTCCGTGTTTGCTCTTATTTAATTTGTTGTTTCACTTAAAAGTGAAACATTGAGCATGATTTATTTATTAAGTACATTTAAAAAAATTCTTATTAATTACACATTGCAAACTAAAAATGTCTTATAATTTTAAGTTTGAGTTCTGAAATATGCATAGCATTAAATAAATATGTTAAAAGCATCCTTGAGATACCCATAAAACCGCCATTGATAATAATAGTCTCACATAGTGGGGTGTAAAGTTGCAAAATTTATATACTTTATTTGAAATTTTTTTCATGAACAATTTTATTTCATTCATTTTCTTTGGAAGTTTAAAAGCACTTACATTTTATTTCATTCATTTAGTAAGTAAAATGTCCTTCTATTTAATTTGAACGTCAATTCATCAAGAATTTTGCAACCATAATTAATTTCTTTTTCAGAAAATATAGTTCTAATTCTTTTAAAAAGGCGATTTCTCTAATATTACTTTTTGGGAAAAATATTTGTTGCTAGAATTTAAATAGTATTTCAATAATTAATTTCATGTTCATATAATACCAAAATTTTATTTGAAAAATTGAAGTTAAATATTATATTATAGTCAACAATTGTCACTTTTCGATCAAAAGAAGAAGTTATGAGTGCTTTTTTAGTTTTTATATGTATAAATTTTTAGATATTGTACTTTTTAATGAAAAATGGACCACATGCAGATAAAATAAAAGTAAATTATAAGTGAAAGATACTTTATGTGAACAGAAGATAGTAGTGTTGGCCAAAAAAAAAAACAGAGAGAGAGAGAGAGAGAGAGAGAGAGAGAAAGAACAGAAAAAAAGGACAGAAGATAGTAGTGAAAAAAGAAAAACAACAAGAACAAAATTCATTTATTAATTAGAATTAAAGGATTAATTCTTAAAAAGGAAGCAAGAGACTGAGTTTGAAGACAGAAATTGAGTTTATGTAATTAGGATAATGTAGTTATAATTGACTAAAAGTACAAAATATATTATATGCTAGTTAAATAGAGATATATTTTGTGTAAAATGAAAAGATAAAAAAATATGAGGCAAAAGGTTGAATAGATTGCAGAGCCCAGATTAAATTACACAAATTACATATTAAGTATATATAACATAATTAAAATGAAAATAAAACCTTTGTGGGTGACACTAACGTCCTCAACCACATTGTATGTATGCCTCTCAGACTGTACATACATGCTCCAAGTCATACAACTCTTAGAAATTTCACAACAACAAAAAATTCAAACACTATCTATAGCATATTATGGCTATTTAATTTAGAAAGTCCACTCGAGAGGGGAATGAATTGGGCTTTAAAAAAATTGTGGCTAATTATAAAATAAGAGAGATGAGTTTAGAATAATATCACCAAACATACTAGAGAGTAAAGAAGGGAAGCTTGCACATATTGTTTATTCCTGTTTAGCTCCGATCAGTTGAGCCTACATCAAGTTCCTAAGTATCACTTGAGATTTTCTCTATTAACTTTACCAAGATTAATTCTGGCTCTTAGCAGTCTCAGTACAATCTCAAACTTACACAAAAGTCTGAATCACTCTCCCTTACATTAGTAATGATTTATCCCTCTTAAACTCTTCAAGTTTAAGATCCTTTGTTTCAAGAATGAAAATTAGAGATGAACATATTAAATTTAAGAATGAACTACTCTATCAAATACTCTATCTAAGAGTTGATATATAATCAATGAAGCTCACTTATAATGAATACAAACTCAAAAAGTTGGCAAAACAATAAAGGAAATAGCTTGTGTTGTTCGTTCTAGTGTGTTCCTATTCACGTCTTTGTAAATGCTTCAATTTATAGTTGGACTTCATAAATGATTCGTTAGACTCATGAATATAGCTGTTAGAGCTGTCATCTTCTAGCAATGGAACAATGCTTTACAGTGGAGTTTCCTCTCTCAGGACAAATAAGCAAAGTAATGTCTCTTTGCATTAAATGTTTTGACAAGGTAGGTGAGAGACATTTTCAAAAGAATGAAGCTATTTGGGAATAAGGATTTCGGGATAAGATTAATAAGTGTTTAATCTAACCCAAGGTGCATTTAGAATGACTTTAGGAAGATTAAATAACTAACACAACTCTCAAAAGGTAAAAGGAAAGGGATTAGAATAAGTTTTGAAGTTTCCTTGTTATTCATGCGAAAAGCAGAACATGAAACATCATGCTTATTTCAAAATAAGTGAGCTTATTTTGAAACAGTGAAGAACAACTTCAATGAGAAAGCTGAGATGACTATTTCAAAGTAATGAACTAATATTGGAAGAAGTTTATGTACACATTGATCTAAAAGTCTTCATTTGAGAATAAGAGAAACTATTCCCAAATAAGCTATTTCTGAATAAGCTATTCTTGAACAAGCTATTCCTGAAATATAATGTTATGAAAAAGGTATCGAGAACAACTTAGAAGAAAAGACCCATTATTCCTGAATAAAGATAGCTATTTCCAAATAAGCAAAAGAATTGATACTTGGGAATAAGAGACCACATTTAGGAATAAGCTATTCTGGAATAAGAACCACTTCATAGAAAAAATACAATGGCTCTCAGATTTTGAATTTTTGATTCGAAGATCAATTGATATACCTTTTGAGTAATACAAGGGGTCCTTAAGGAATAAAGATTAAGTCTAATACTTAATTTTTAGAGTAAAGCATCATATGAGAGCATGTGGGAAGTGAGTATCTATTTCTTGCTTATTTGGGAATAAGACATTGATTTGGAAATAAGAGTGCCTATTTGGGAATAAGACATGAGAGTCAAAATATTACACAAAGAGCCAGACTCCAATTCCCATCCAAACCATTAATTCTTAAATATTAAACCCATAAAACACAAACTTCTCTTATGTGTTTCTTGGTTATTTGGGAATGAGGCACTTATTTGGAAATAAAAGTGCCTATTTGGGAATAAGACACAAGAGTCAAAATATAACACAAAGAGCTAGACTCCAATTCCTATACAAACCATTATTTCTTAAATATTAAACCTGTAAAACACAAACTTCTCTTATTTTATAATTATCAAAATCAGGGTTTAACAAATTTTTGAATGATTCTTATTATTATTAAATTTAGATGAAGTTATAATTTTTTTGTAAAATATTGTTATAAATAAATACGGTATCCAACTAGGTATACCTGCATGTAGCTAAATCATATAAGACCAATTCCAATTTTGAATTGTAAAAAATCAAATGTTTTAATGTTTTTAATTAGATAGAAATTGAGTCTATCTAATCAGCATAATAGAGTTATTATTGAATAAAAAGTATAATATATATGTATATATTGAATTAAAAAGTGGCTAAACTAGTCTTATGGGATCACCCCATTCAAAGGGATTACTTTGCCACAAGGGTAAAACATCATGTGCGAATAAAAATATATTTTGTGTAAACTGAAAGATATAGAGGTATGAGATAACAGGTTGAATAAATTGTTAAGCCCAAATTAAATAATACGAATTACATATCACGTATATATAATTAAAATGAAAATAAAACCTTTGTGGGTGACACTAACGTCCACAATCTTATTAATAGCTATAATATGGCTGTGAAATTTACAAATGATTATTATAATTATTTAATTTATATGCAGTTATAAAATTTTTGTAAAATATTGTTATAAATAAATATAGTCTCCAACTAAGTTTACATGCATGTTGCCAAATCATGTAATACCAATTCCAATTTTAAATTTTAATAACTTACGTGCTTTAAGGTTAGAAAGTTCAAGCATTTACAATTTTTTCCATTCCATTAATTAGTAAAATATTCTCCTATTTTGACCATAAACCTAGCAAGAAGTTTGCAACCGTAATTATTTTCTATTGAGAAAATATTATTTTATTTTTTCTTAACGAAAGATGCACTTATAATTTTTTTAGAAGAAATAACTGTTGGTAGAATTAAAATAAAAATAAATATAATTAATTCCATGCTCATTTGATACCATTTTTATGTAGTAAAATGAATTTAAATGTTCCATGTTATTCAATAATTGTGGTTTTTTCACAAAAAAGGAGGAAGTTATGAGTGTATTATAAGTTTTAAACACAAATTTTAAGAGTTGTTAAACGCACGTTATATGCGCAGAAAATAGTTAAAAAAAAAAAGAAAAACAAGAAAATCAAAACTCAAGATTAATACTTAATTAAAAAAATGTAAGAGACTAAGTTTTAGAGATAAAAATTGAGTTTATGTAACAAAAGTAATTGACCAAAATTGCAATATATGTATATATTGAATCAAAAAGTCAGTAAACTAGTCTTATGGGATTTCGAAATATCCTCTAATACTAAACTCAATTAACTCTATGATAATAATTATAAAAAAATAAACCAATAATTAACAGGTATTGGTCTTAGTGGAAGGAGTCATATGAGATCTTAGGTATGAAATCTTGAGTTCAAGTTTGTATGAATGTAAAAAAATTAAATTAAAATCTTTAGAAGAGCTACCCCTAATTAGACTTAACAATATTTCAATCTAACCTCATCAGATAGTGATATGAAAAAACAGAAATAACCCAATAAGAAAGCTTACTATAATAGAAAATCTTTAACCATAGACAGTCCATAGTTTGAAATAGGCCAACCATAAAGTATATGTAAGTAATAAGAATGATATAACATAAAAAGTATATAAATATTTTCTATAATATTTTTCAAACTTATATAACATATATTAAGGTTAGGGTTAATGGGTAATTTTGCCCTTAAATTGTAGCTAGCTTCTAGAACATATGGGACCTTAAACTATTTTTTTTTTTTACAATATTTCCTTTCAACAATTGAAAAGGGTGCAATATTGTCCTTACCATTAATGAAAATTAACTTTGACCATTAGTTGACAATTAAAAAAACAGAAAATGGCTTGAAAAATTATAGAAAACGATTCAGAAAAATTACAAATAAATATCTTATAAATAATTAATACCAATTAAGTTCCTCCTATTATAAATAAATACCAAGAGACAAGTGTCATTTTTCCCATGTAAATTAGGACTAAAATATCATTTTTGACCATCCACGTTGACATGCTACTAAGTGATTGTGGGATCACTATTATTGATAACATCGGTAATGTCATGACCCAAAAATGTCATAGTATCGTGTCAATTAAAAAGTAATTCTGAACATTTATTTGATTGACATTTAAGTAATCGTTGATAATTGGTTTTGATTACATTATGTCATGAGTTGGTACCTTATGTCTCAAGTTAATCACAGGCAAGAAATTAAAAAATATACTATACTTGTTTTAAAAATATCCTTTTAAATACTAATACTTAAATATTGAATAATTTCAATATTATTATTATTTATAAATATTCCTCTAAAATTTATAAATCATCTTTTGAATATTAACATCTCAACTAGTGTATCCATAATTTATAAATGAATTTCATTTTCACACTAGCTGTATTGTAAATTAAAATAGCATAATAAATTATAAATCAACAACCAACATTATTTATAACTTCTCCTTCAAAACCCTAAATAATAAATAAATTATTATTTGTTAAAGTACTAACATTTTAGTAAGATATTATTAAAATAAATATATTATTTTTAAGTTACTTGCCAGTAATTGTGATCTGATAATCACTAGGTTGCTTGTCATAATAACTAGTTAAAACGGTGTCTTGCTCTTTTATGTGGATAAAAAATAACATTAGTTTCTTAGAATTTATTCGTAATACAAGATACTTAATCTACAGTGATTTTCTTATAAGGTAATTATTTATAATTTTTTGGGTCTTTTTTTTTGTAATTTTTGAGATCTTATTCTATAATTTTCTTCTCAAGTAAGAATTAAAGTTAATTTTTGTTAACAATAAGGATAATATTGCACCGTCTTTAATTGTTAAAAACCAATATTGCACACAAAAAAAAGTTTATGATCCCAAACGTTTCTAGAATGATAATTTAAAGACAAAAAAATATGTAAATATTATATGAGGCAATTTCCATTTTATTCTAATAAATGCGTTGATTGTCGTGCTTATTATTTAAAAGAACATTCAACCCCCATGCCTGAATATCAGACATGGTTTTTAAGTTTGTCCAAGTCCCTATTATATTTTGCTCTAATATTCCCTTTTCAAATAGAAATTACTTGTAAGAGACGATGGCTGCTATCAGACTTGCGGAACGTCAAGCCGTCTCAAACTCATTCACTTTTTTTCTCCACAAAATTATATTTGTGTCTCGATTCAGTGTACCACTACAGTTAGTCAATTAGCCACAAGTGTCAAGATTGATATTATTTTGTATTTTGCTTCATTTAAAATAAAAAAGTGTTAAAATTAAAATATAATTGAAAATGGGAAAAAAGATGCAACATTCAAATCTTACAATCTAGACAGTCCAATAGATGAATCATATGACTAGTTCCAATTTTCCTTTTCCCCGAGCAAAGGCTAGTTCCAATTTATATTATCAACTTCACGGGAATTTAGGGATTTCAATTTTAGGGGATTTGGTTCCATTTTTTTAAGAAAAATATATATTTCAATAATTAAAATCAATATGACTTTAATTAATTTCATGTTCATGTAATACCATTCTTATATAAAAAAAGATTTTAAATATTACATGCCATTCAATAATTGTAATATTTTAAAATAAGAAATTATCAGTGTATTTTAAGTATAATGTATATAAATTTTAAGAAGTTATATTTATTAACAGAAAATATAATTATTCCTTGAACTTAAATAAATATAACTATGCTTATTCTCATGCACATATAATACCAATTTGTTTTTTCAAAAAAAGAAGTTAAATATTACTTACTATTCAAATATTGAAATTTTTTAAAAGAAGATATGAGTGTTTTAGAAGTTTAAATATATAAAATATTAGAAGATGTATTTTTTATAACAAATAACGGATTACATGCATAAAAAAAAGGAAAATTACAAGTGAAACATACGTTATATGCAAACAAGATTGTAAATAAAAAAAAACCAAAATCAAAATTAACAGATTAAATTATTTTTAATTTAATCTATTATTGTAAATGCATTAAATTATAAAAAAATATTTAAAAGAAAAATATTGCCGCCTTCAGTAATGCCAACCTGCAAAAAACATAAGCAAAACAAAAGGACAATTAGAAAATGATGTACATGTCATAAAATTAAGTAACTAGAAAATAAAGATATTGAGAGAAGAAATAGAGACAAAAGAATGAGAGAATTTCTTATGGATTATTGTGTCTTTCAATACAAATTACATGCCTTATTTATCGGCATGGTTTTACACATCAAATGTTACACAAATGATAAAAGCAAATAAAGGGTAATAAACTCTCATGATGATAGGAGTTTCATGAGAGAAGATGAAGATGAAGAGGTGATGAAGATGGACATTCACTATCCTTGTAATATTCATAACACTTCCCTTTGGATGTCCATTATTTAAGACTGTGCCTCATTAAATGGGAAAAAGCCTAGCAAAAGAAAAGAATACATCATTCACTAATACGCTATACAATGCTGTCTCATTAAAAACCTTGTTTGGAAAACCCAATGGGAAAAAACCTTAAACAAGGGAAAAAGAGTACAGTGCACATTAACTCCTCCTCTTGACAACATCAATTGATATTTTTGAGTCTACGAAATCTAATATCATGAACAAGCTTTTCAAATATTTTAGCAGGAAGTGCCTTTGTGAACATATCAGCTAAATTTTCAGCACTCATGTTTAGAATTTTAGTACTCAATCTTTCAGTTGTCATCTTAGATGTTTTCAATACTCATCTCTCATATTTTTAGTACTGAAATACACTTATCTTTAATTCTTTTCAGCACTGAAACCATGGAAAATAAGTATTGAAAATATTTATGACTAGACTACTAAAAAAATAAAAAATGAGAACTGAGAATACTAAAAATGACTTTTAAATGAGAAAAAGGAGTACTGATAATATAAAAGATGAGTACTAAGAAAAATTAATTAAAAAAATTTAATCACAACTAAAGATCAAGATCTTTTTATGAAAATTCATAAATTTTAAGGTCCTTAACTGCCATTAATATTCTTTGAAGACCCTTAAATGTAAATTATCTTGAAGTTTTGATATAGAGAGGTGAACTTTTTTGACTCCAAAAATTGGAATCAGTTGTGGGAACAATGAATTGAACTAGTTGCATACTTTTGTAATCTGTTCAGTTTATCAGAATCAACCAAAACTTAAGAAAAAAAGTTGACAAAAATTGAAAATTAATTTGTATTCATCATATGATATATTTATTTATAAAAGTGAAAACATATCCATTTAATTTTATTTGATTTATTTATGTATTAATCTTGAGAAAATTAAGAAATCTCTAAGAAACATTTTGATGAGCTCTTAAAAGTGTATTATTTTCTCTACAAAAAATTGTATTATTTTTGGGAAAGCACAATGAATCTCATATAAAAAATTTTGTTTACAATTAAGTCCCATGTATTTACAAAAATACATTCAAGTTCGATGGAACTTGGTTGTAATTAATTTACCATTTAAAATGGCACAAATACCCTTGGACTCCCACCCCTTTGACCATCAATGGTCAATGACCAGTGGCCAACAGCCATTGACCATCATAAGCAGATGTTGTAATATTTTTTGAAAAATATTTTAATTGAATTATTCATATTTTAATATTTTGCAAGTCAAATACCAAAAATTTACAAATAAATCTTCAAGATTTACTGCTCAAACTTCTTACATTTACTATTAATAGGTTAATGTTTACAGGTCAACTTTGCAAATTTATAAGTTCATAAATTTCACAGACTTACAAGTTAGATATCTTAATTTACATTTTTAACTTTCAGATTTGTGAACTTTAATTTATAAATTTTAAAGTATTAATATTGTAAGAGGTTGATAAATCATGACTATTTATTTATTAATCTATGATATTTGACTGGTAAACATTAAAGTATTGATATTTTAATAAAATATTTTTTGGAAAAAATTATTTTTGACTAGTCAATGTCCGCCAATGACCACCAATAGTCGATCAATGCTAATGCAAGGAGTGAGAGGCACTTGTGTCATTTTACATGATAAATTAGTTACAACTAAGTCTTGTGGGACTTGAGTGCATTCTTACAAATTTGTGCGACTTATTTATAAATAATGAATTTCTTATATGGAACTTATTTGCAATTTTCCCATTATTTTTTTATATAAAAAAGTTTCTATTTTTTTAATCCCTACAATTCAAGGATTCTCACTACCTCTAAACTAACACCTTTCTTATTATGATGGGGAGAATCACTGTAAAGTGTAAAGTCCCTCATAAAGATTGTAATTATTAAAAAATTTCACAAAACATACAAATTACTATCAAGTCCCATGCTCTTGTAAATAGGTTTTCATATGCAATTACCAAAGTATCCTTAGTTCATTGAAAAAAAATAAATAAATCTTGACCCTTCCACTATCAATCACTTTGGCCATCGCCGGCAAGCAATGGTTGGTTAATTATATTTTGGGAAGGGGTGGTCTTGATGGGAGTAGAACCCAAGACCACTTGATTCCAAAAAAAAACAAAAACTTATTATTATGGGACCACTTATACACTTCAATGTATGAGGCAAAATATTTCATATAAGTAATAACTAGTGTTTAGAATAAAAATGATGGCTTGAATATACAGATTTGTATTGATGCAACCACAAAAAATAATATATATATACATATATATCTATGTGTGTGGGTATTGTTGTGACGTCTATGACAATAAGTTTTGAAAATATTTTAAGATTTATCATTAAACTTCTAATGCACTAAAATCACAGTATTGACAATAAAAAGTGTGTGAAAGACATAAGAAAATGATGGTTATTTTCTGAATTGTTCAACTCTTTTTGATCAGAAACATACAATTCCATGCAGTTTGCATAATGACAAAATAGAAAATGGAGGCTTATGAATAAAGGAGACATTTGTCGATCGAGTTAGATAATAACGTAGATGGACAAATTAAGGGTGATATCTGATAGGAATCAAGCAAAGGCTGTTTTTCCTTCTCACAGTGGGACCAAAGTTCTCAGTCATGTCCAACTTTTCATGCTCAAGTCCATTCAGAAGTTTCCAATCAAAGTGGTAAAGCAAAGTGGATAGCATGATTTCAACAAGAACTACAGCAAATGAGACTCCAGGACATATCCTCCTTCCAGAACCAAATGGGATGTACTCAAACTCTGTGCCTTTAAAGTTGTAATCAATTGAGGCATTCAGGAACCTTTCTGGTTCAAATTTCTCTGGCTTATCCCAATACTTTGAATCTCTTCCAATGGCCCAGCTATTGATTATGACTTTAGTCTTAGGAGGTATCTCATAACCATTAATCTTACACCCCTTGCTATTTTCTCTTGGAAGTAGCAATGGCGCTGGTGGATGGAGCCTTAGAGTTTCTTTTATGACTGCAGATACATATTTCAAATGACGAAATTCTGATTCATCTACATATCCTTTACTTCCGAAAACCCTTCTTACCTCTTCTTGTGCCTTTTTCATTTTGTTGGGGTTTTTAAGAAGTTCTGACATTGACCACTCTACAGTTGTTGCTGATGTTTCAGTTCCACCAAGGAAAATATCCTGAAAATACATATATATAAGTTCACGGTCAGAGATAACAACGTGTGTTTTGAATTAGAACCCAATAAAAGCAAGGGGTCTTTAATGTGTATTTCTCTAATGTCATTTATACCTAACTTTCCAGCTTTATTTTTTTTTTCTTTGAATTATTGGCTTCTATTTAAAATAAGAAATATTTTGTTATCTTGGAGTTGAAATAGAAATAAGCAATATTGCAATTACACCTTTTTATTCTTGAAATAGAAGCCAATAATCCCAAGAAAAAAAAATGACATTGGGAAGTTGAAATGTTATAAAGAGCATTAGAGAAAAGGCATATTAGAAGCCCCCTAGCTTGATGAGTAAATAAATGACAAAATAATTGGATCATAAATTTACACAAATACTCACCGCGATAATTGCTTTAATGTTCTCTTCAGACAATGGGATTTCAAGCTCATTTTCCTTTTGAATCCTTAGGAGGACATCGATCAGATCATCTTCTGTCGTCTCACCAACTTGACCATCAGGATTATTATTCTTTTCTATGTGATCATTGATGATATTCCTTACCATCATATCAATCTCCCTGTTCACCGTCTCAATTTTAAATTTAATGCCAGTGATCAGTTGAAGGATTTTGACTGACGGGTAGAGATCAGCAACTGAGAAACCACTCATCACCTCAAGAACACGCTGCATAGTTGAAAGGATTTCTCCAACGTTCTTGGTCTTAGCACCAAAGGCCGCTCGTGCAGTTACGAAATTTGTGAGCTCGTAAAGCTTCTCAGTGAGATTGATGATGGAGCCTTCGTGTTCTGATATGTTCCTCACAAGTGCCGACACCTCCTCTTCTCTTATTGTTCTGAATGTTTGGACCCTCTTGGCAGACAAAAGCTCCAAACTGCAAATCTTTCGAAGTTGCCTCCAATAGCTTCCATATGGAGAAAAGGATATGCTTGTGTTATTAGATATTAATGTGGTCGCAAGAAGAGCGGGACGATTAGCAAAGGTTGTGTCATGTGTCTTCATGATCTCCTGGGCTATTTTTGGGGAAGACACGACAACGTGGGACAACTCTCCAAGTTGAAGGTGAATGATAGGTCCGTACTTGTTGGCTAGGTCTCTCAAGGCGTGATGAGGTAGCGACCCTCTAAGTTGGTGTAAGTTGCCAATGATAGGCAACTTGAATGGCCCTGGGGGTAGGGTTTTGATGGATTTGTTGGAGATTGATCTCTTCAGTATTATAAGGAAGAAGAAAGAGATTGCAAGGAGGATAGAATATGGGATTTGAGTCTCCATTGATGGCTGGCTAAGGATATGCAGAACTGGATGGTGTGGGTTTGATGAAAGATATGGACCCCTTTTATAAAAAAGTAAAGGGAGAAATGGCAATAAAGTTTTGAAACAAGGAATTGATTGACTTTTACACAATCCATATTAATTTTCATCAAACGATGATGCGAACTCATTCAAAAATTTGGATTGTATGCAAGTTTGATTAAGCTTGAGAGTGGAATCTCTGAATTTATTATTTTTATATTTTTAACTTATAAAATCATGTCATCTCTCTTATAAACTCAGACTAGATTCAAAGAGGATTAAACTTGCTAAACTCATCATTTTTTTTTTACAAAGTTAAGTAAGTTAAATATAAATTATGCTAAATTCAGGTTCATAGAAGTGGTAGGACCGGTTCCAAAAAAAATTATAAAATAAATAATAATATTAATAAGAAAGAAAACAAGAAATACAAAAAATGAGATGCCTATTTGATTTTTTTTTTTTTGTTGAGTATGACAATATATCAAGGTAGATAGACTTAGTTTCAATTATTTATATTTAAATATATATATATATATAAATATAAATTAAATTATGATCCTATTTTATATTTTAATTATTTAATTATATACTTAATACAGTTAAACTCATAAGAATTTACAATCCAAGTTTACATCCTTTGGTGAATTTACTTAAACTCATGAGTTTGACAATCTTAATTACATGTTTAACTTTAAGATTTAAAGGTAAAATAAATAATTTTAATTGAAGGTAATTTGGGATTTCTATAAAAAAATTTGAAAAAATAATCAAAACTTTTAATTAATTCGAACTACCTTTCCTTAATCCACATGATTTGGTTAAAAGTGTTATACAAATAGGACCAAAAGTAATAATTACTAACTCGATTTCATGCAATCGCCAATTGGCATATGTATTAATATACATCATATTTAATTTGGAGAGACCAAATCACTGAGTCAGATATATCCAATTAAACAATATTCTTCTGCACAGTTCAATTTTTCCTAAAGAAATAATGATAAAATATTCTTTAAATGACTAGATGATAAATGCACTCATAATTTATTTAAAAAATATTTTAATAAATAAATGTAGTCTCTTTCTAAGCTTGACTGCATGCAGACGAATCACAGATCAGACCTGGCCCAGTTCCAAATTTAACTTTTTTTATTCTCACGTGCTTTAGAGTTTCAAAGTTCAAAAGAACTTGCATTTTATTCCATTTCTTTAATTAGTTAAATATTTTTCTATTTTGATCATCAATGAATCAAGAAGTTTGCAACGATAGGTAATTTCTTTTAAAAAGACGATTGCTCTAATGTTATCTTCTTTCTGGAAAAGAATCTTCCAAAATTTGGAATATGTAAACTTCATAAAGTCTGCCTTTAATTTAAGAAAGAAGGAGAAAATTTTATGTTTTATAAAAAATATTTAATAATACATATATATATATAGCGTATAAAAGAAAAACTTTACGAGAATCCAGGAATCTCAACTTCATAGGATTTTCTTATATTTTTTTCGAGAAAAATATTTATTTCCATAATTAAAATCAATTTAGATATAATTAATTTCATGTTCATATAAATTGCAATATCATTTTTATATAACAAAATGAAGTTAAATATTACATGTTATTCAACAATTGTAATTTTTTAAAAAGAAGTTATGAGCGTGTATAATTTTAAAATATATA